ATATATATATATATAGAGAAAGATATATTTCGTTTATCAATGGCGCTATATACATGTATGTAGTTCGTTGAAATCGGGCGTTCGTGGTGAGATCGGTGACGTGATGTTGTGGTACACGGGGATGTTGGGAACCGATGGCGCCGACGTCGTCGTCGTCGGTAGCAGTGGTGGTAGCGGCCGCAGCTGCGGTGGCGGCAGCAGCGCTGGAAAGGTTTGCGAGAGAGAGGCGAAAGATGTATAGAAAATCCTGGCGGCGGGCTGGGCGTCGCGGGGCGGTGAATGACGTCACGTTGCTAAAGCGACGCAGCAACGCGAGGCGTCTGCGTGGGTCGGTTGAGAGTCTGGGGGTCCGAGATCAATAGCGCTAGCAACCAGGTAGTAGGTATGGGTGCATGTAGCTTTCTCCACGGTGGCAGTCCAGGAGACGAACCTCACGAGGTAGGACACTTTACGAGTCGAACGAGAGAGAGATAGAGAGAGAGAGAGAGAGAGAGAGAGAGGAGAGGTAGTTAGATACATAGATAGAGAGAGAGAGAGAGAGAGAGAGAGAGAGAGAGAGAGAGAGAGGGAGAGAGTTCGGCAGCCTGTCAGTGTCGTGCCGAAGAAGAGCCACGCTATGCCAGTAATCGAGCGTAGCTGCGGGGTGTCCAGCATCTAGGATTGTCAGCCTCTCCAGGTAAGGGTCCAGCGACAGCTTCCATCCTATCTCGACTTCGATGATTGCGTGCCGTTGGCCGCGAGCGCGCGCGAATCTTCTTCCGGATCTCACGGCGCGACGTCCGCACGAGAGAATCACACGTCTCGGGGAATTCCCGGGATTTTCGTGGGACTCTCGGGAGTGGAGAACGAGTTGAACGGGCGCGCGATAGGTCGTTCTGTAGGTCGATCGAGGCGGCGTGTAAGATCCAAGCGCGAAGAAAGCAAACGATTGCGAAAGGGTAGATAGATAAACAGATAGATAGAGAGAGCGAGAAAAAGAGAGAGAAAGAGGGGACAGGGAGAGAGAGAGAGAGAGAGAGAGAGAGAAAAGGCTCGGGAACAAGTTGGATAGATTGGCGGATAGATTGAATAAGTATGCACGCACGCATTCAGTTCTCGGTGGGTGACACGGGATGGACGAGCAGAGGTTGATAGATGGACCGATGGACCCGATGGGCGGATCGACGGCAACGCCGAAACGGACGGGACGGACAGATAAATATGGGCAATTGGCAGAACGGAAAGACGGATTCGCAGATACGAATGTAACGGAATACGCGGACGAATGAATGATGGGTCAATCGCACATTGTCAAAGATCATGCGATCAGAAAACTGCATTTCTTCGTCATGCAACAACATCTCGATCCCCGTGTCGTTACGCCTAATTTAATGCGTAATTTAGCGGCTAAATGTACATATATTTCATGTAAAAAGGTTTTCAAGTATTTATTTAAATATTTCAGTGTGATGATCATTCCCTTGGATATTACTACATATTTGTATCTGTAAAAGTAAATAAAGTCGATCGATAAAGTCAAGCAAAAGAGAGAAGAACAAAAAAAGAAAGAAAAACGTTTAGAGATAATTGATTTGTGCAATAATGTTGCGGGACAGGCTACAAATATTTAGATTTTTATCACGCGCTCTATGCTAATTCTGTTTTCCGTCGGATTTTGCGTAACGATAAGCATGACGTATGTACATTTTGCCATTAAGGTTGCATCAAGATTGATAAATTGCAGGGACGTGTCAAATATATGATGCCATTAAACTACGGCGCAGATGCATTTTCGAGCGCTTTATTTACCCTCCATTAAATTGGCTTTTATCAATCGATGACTGATCGCATTGATCCATGATTTTGCACGATAAGCTAATCTGTCGCGAACGAAATCCTCGTATTCGTTCAGGACGTTACTCTGCAATAATGATGAAAGAGATGGAAATACAGATGCAAACTAGTTCGTAGAGGAGAGAGTATGTGTCGTAAATCGCTTGCCTTCCCCTCTTCGGTAACCTACCCACACGCGCTCTTCTTCTTTGTCACCATTTGTCAGCGCCGTACCTAAATTATGAGTTATAGTGTCCGCGTGGTCTATTCATGTAGCTTCGGTATGAAGATAGGGTCTATTAGATCTCCAAAAGAGATCGATATTCTTAATACACTCGCGGTAACTCTTACTGACACTCGGAATAATTGGGAAACATTTATTTTAATACACAGATTGCAGCAGGTTTCTCGAATCTCACTTGTTCTTTCGCGCGAATCCATCTCGAGAATACGACTTTACTTTGGAATTTTCTTTCTTAACGCTGTCTACAATAGGGTACAATAGGGCATAGGGTAGTAAACCTACCCAGTAAAAGTCATGAGAAATTGCCCAATCACAGTCGAATGCTAGGAGAATAATCGCTTGGTCAATTTTTTAAGACTTACTACTCTGTCGTGGATACTAGAGACCCTATAAGAGTGACCAGCAATTTTGTCAAAACAAGAGTAAGATAGAAGAATATATATGTTGTCTCTTTTATATATATTATCTTATTTTAACTTATACTATCTCATTCTATCTTACTCATTCTAACTTATACAATCTTATTCAATTTATTAAACTTAACAAAAATGACGAGCTAATCAAAATTTGTTATCTCGTGATCAGACTTTGTTATAGAATCTTTAATAGTCATCGCGTTAATCCCGAAATATAATAGGTGTTTAAATTATAAGAAATCAATCAATTATAGTCGATTATTCTCATATTCGATTGTGATTGGCTAATATCTTATGACTTGAGACTTACTACTTCTCTTATGTTTCGGCACTTAGGCCGGAGTCAGATTACGCATTGAAGATTGAAAGGTTGAAATTTGATCAATAAAAACAACAAAGGTTAAAATTCCTTTGTCCTTATTCAATCTCAATCTTCAATTGTAATCTGATTTTGACCTTACACGTTCATGGCGTTGCTCTGGGCGATAAGTTGATTCAGTTTCGTAATACTTAAAACGTTTACTCTAAATCTGAATCAGTGGATAAGTCATACTTGGCACTGATATCAGTGCCAAGTATGCCACTGACTAGTGAATAAAATGTGAGATCCTAATCTATCTAATCCTTATTATGTGATCTAACTAATCTTATTTTAGTTATAAATTCAATGAATATAGTATTAGAAGATTGAAATTAACGTGCAAATATCAATATTTTAATTGTAATGCTCAAACATTCTTCCATTTTTTTGTTGAACTTCATTCGATTATCCAGTGTCAAGTATGCCACTGAGTAATTAGGGACTATTCACTGATTCAGATTTAGAGAGTATGTATTTATCAATAAAATTAACAGAAATCGTTCATTGTTACGTTCGTTGACAAAGTACTAATTCATTAATGATACGTGTTAGCAGATCGAGTATAATTTAATAACGAAGATATTGCGTGTCGATAAGGGTGACTCTCGTATCTTCCCCTATGCCACGAACGACACTGACATTGCTGATACTGAAAAGGACCTCTTATTATGTACTTGTCCGCTCACTTGTTTGCCGTTCGCGTACGATCTCGTTAATTGCAATCACGCCTTCGTGTAATCATCATTTTCCTCTCGTCTGTTACCATCCGAAATAAAGTCCGTCAAAATGATTTTCGCGTTGGCGTACTTCACCGCTCCCGTCAATTATCAATGATCCATACAGCAAACAACGTAGTATTCTACGACGGAAGAAAATTAGAAAATATTATATAGCAAAGATTAAAATGTCGAACGTACGCGACGCTCAAATGAATCTTGTGCAATTATTTGCGCAAGATTCATTTGCAGGTTTAATTCTCTCAATTTCGAGAGATAGTCACGTTATGAGTTACGAGAGATAGTACTATTAAAAATAAGTATTTAAATTGAGATAAATCTTTGCTTAGGTAAGAATACTTGCATGGGATATTCTAGTATCCTCTTTATGAACGATAGATAATTTTTTAATTAAAATTTAAAATTATGCGCATATCTCGACAATAATAATGCACAGGAGAAAGAGTAGGAGAGAGAAATTGACCGCGAAGCATTCAAACAGACGATTAAGGTCTCTCAAGTACTTGGAATCTGCGGATATCTCGGCTTCTAGCTCGGGGTCGGGTCGGCTGTAACGCGGGTCGGGTTTGGGTCACAGTACTCGAAACTTTGCCGGGTTACCCGGCAATATTGCCGACGGACGTCGCTCGGGGCATCTACCATGTCCCGCGCTAGCTTCGAACACTCGTAATTCTCTAGGAATTCTCGTTATTTGTAGAGTTTTCAGCCGCTAAATATATTTCGTGATATAACATTTTGCGTAGAATTGCAATTTAAGTTATAAAATAGACACGTGTGTGCACGAGATTTCTCACATGATCTCAATTCAAAATGTTTCAAAAAAGGCCACGTGTGCATCTTGGCACTTATTCAATTCTTAATACAATGCGACCTCTATGCTTCTACCTTAATTCACGGTCGGGGCGGTCATCCAATTCGCAATTATCATTGAGTTATCTCCTCGAGTGAAATAAGCGGGATGGATGGACGAATATATAGAACTTGTCATTCGCGGGCAAACCTCGAAGAGAATTCACATCCGACACCCTCTCAGTAATCCACGAACAGCGTTTGGTATCGCTCCAATTCTTCTTTATGTTGAAACTCAAGTTGCAATACCACGATATTTATACTCGTATATAGAAAGAGAAACAGGGAATGTGCGTATTTCCTTCTCCACGTGTAATCAACTTAATCTTGTGAGATAATTGATACTCTTGTGCGGTACGCATAAAGGCGTACACCGGTGCCTCTCTACGCTTTGATCTTCACACACTCACACACATATTACATCGTCTTAATTCAATCAATCATCGGGAAGTTGGTGAGACATGGTAAATGGAGGCATCCCCGGCTTTGTACTTCGGCTCCTCTGCTATTAAATATCGCGCGTGCGATATTGCAATTATGTCGGTTTAGTTTAGAAACAACATCGGTCGAGTTGGCGTCGATGGCAATTAAAAATCAATGGGAATTAGCGATAGATGTAAGATTTTCGTGACCTGCGAGGAAAAAACAGACGCGTCGTCTGCTTTTGCCTGGCCCAATGTCGATAAAGTAAATAAATAAATATGAATCTAAATAAAAATGAGATATTACGGATCGCAGGGGAGAAATTACGTAGATTGCATCGAGATTGCGGTGTGAGATAGATAAGTTTAATCATTGCTAATACGAATCCGCGTAGGGATTCGTGTTCCGCAGCTCGCCGCAGAATTTTTATGAAGGTGTGTTTATCTTGTTTGCTTGCAGGCCGGCGCAATGTGGCCTGGAGTACTACTATTATTGGTGTTACTAGCAGTGCTGCTGCATCCATCAAGGTAAGTTGTTTCATTGTGACATGGATTGTGTGAAATTGTTACTAGTAGTGCCTCATGCAAATTTTGTTCATATGCAGTTAACTGTTATATCGCCTGAATTAATAATAAAACTGTTATATACTACTTTTGGAACGATGTCAAGTCAAGATTTCGCGAGAGAGAGTTTCTAGCGATAAAAATATAATTCTAAGAAAGAACATTGTGGCTCGTAAAGATATATGTTATTGACCCACACGGGATTATTGTTATGATGCATAAAGCTTATAAGAAACGAAAATTTATGAACGGACCGACGTGCGTCACCTTTGAAATTTTGTCGCGCGAATTGAACGAAACAGAATTGAACGAAACAGAATTTGAAAAATAATATAAAAATTTTTGGATGATTTGCGAAGTGTGTATTTTTTATGACGGTATTTTTATGTATTTTTAAAAAATCATTTTATGTGTGTTTTATTATATAATTTGCACCAAAATTCAGGA